AGAGGAACCAGATCAGACCATCCCAGCAGAGGAACCAGATCAGACCAACCCAACAGAGAAACCAGATCAGGACAACCCAACAGAGGAACCAGATCAGGACAACCCAACAGAGGAACCAGATCAGACCATCCCAGCAGAGGAACCAGATCAGAACAACCCAGGAAAGAAACCAGATCAGGACAACCCAACAGAGAAACCAGATCAGAACAACCCAGCAGAGAAACCAGATCAGAACAACCCAGCAATGGAACCAGATCAGGACAACCCAACAGAGAAACTAGAACAGAACAACCCAGCAGAGAAACCAGATCAGGACAACCCAGCAATGGAACCAGATAAAAACAACCCAGCAGAGAAACCAGATCAGAACAACCCAGCAGAGAAACCAGATCAGAACAACCCAGCAGAGAAACCAGATCAGAACAACCCAACAGAGAAACTAGAACAGAACAAGCCAACAGAGAAACCAGATCAGGACAACCCAACAGAGGAACCAGATCAGAACAACCCAGCAGAGAAACCAGATCAGAACAACCCAGCAGAGCGTGTGGAGAACTCCCAGTCCAGTGTGTGTGTTAAAGTAGAGCCGGCTGAAGCGGAGGAAGACATCACAACACAGTCTGCTCATAAACCCCCTGCGCTCATCAAGACGGAGCCGGAGCACATTCAGATCCCGCAGCTGACGAATGACGGAGGAACGGCCAAATTCACCATCAAAATAGAGGATGCAGAAGCAGACGAGAGCGTTCCTCAGCAGCAGAGCCGGAGAAAAGAGGAGCCGTTCCAATTCGGAGGATTCTCCTTTGAGGGACTGACCAACTCCGCCTTCTCCAGACTCAGCTTTGCCGTGCCTTCACCTCCGGCTGAGCCTGGGGAGCCGGATGGATCCGTGCAGAAGAGTCTGGACTGGCTGTGGAGAGGACGAGCTGATGTAGACACACACGCTGAGCTTTCTGAGAAACCACAGCAGAACGGGACACTGATGTACAGCAGCGATGGATGCACCACTGAGGACAGCGTAAGACAGACAGTACAATGCACATCACAAGATGAGCTGTGTAGACAGCCACATAATCTGGGAGATTACAGGCAAGATAACGTAATCGGACTACTCTTGGATTACATTTACAAATGACATGATAAACTGTGGCCAGTAATTAATCCATTACACATTCATGATAATATCATCAGAGTACTTTTGGATTACATTTAGATTACTTTTAAACTGTAATCAGTTATTGATTAATTACATGATAATTAGTGTAGTCATTAATATCTGTTAGACTCCACATTTATGGTATAGTAATCAGAGTACTTTTGGATTACATTTAGATTACTTTTAAACTGTAATCAGTTATTGATTAATTACATGATAAGCGGTGTAGTCATTAATATCTGTTAGACTCCACATTTATGGTAAAGTAATCTGAGTACTTTTGGATTACATATAGATTACTTTTGAACTAATCAATTACTGATTATAAATGACATGACTAAAGTTGTAGTTCGTAACATAATCTGTTAGATTACACATTTGTTGTAATCTGTATTTTTGGATTACATTTGGATTACTTTTGACTGTAATCAGTTATTGATTAAGTACATGATGAGCTGTGCAGTCAGTAATATAATATGTTAGATTACACATTTATGCTAAAGTAATCTGAGTACTTTTGGATTACATTTAGATTACTTTTGAATTGCAGTCAATTACCGATCACAATTGACATGACTAAATTTAATCAGTAATATAATCTGCTAGATTACACATATGATAATGTAATCTCACTGCTTTTAGATTACATTTAGATTACTTGGCTGCACTTTATAATAACTGCACACTATGCACCATTTATTAAGCATTATCTTTTAGTGAATTCAGTATCTGTTAAGCATTTACTCTACATTAATAAGCGTTAGTAAACAGTTGATAACTGCAGCTACAAATGCTGTATTCTTGACTTATAACCACATGTATAATGTGCCTAATAACTGTACTTTCATACTTTAAAGATTTGTTTTTCATTATTAAAGGAAGTATTGCATTATTTACAAACCAGTTATTTAAGCAGAGTTAGTGTTTTTTTAAGATCATTCAGAATGAGTTAGTAAATGATTAATATACTATTGAAATTAACATTTAAAACTCTGATTATTCAGGCATATACTAATAGTTAATTTGTATATTTATAAATGCTTTATTAACTCAACTTCCACTTTTGTGAGCTGATCTAAAGTGAGGACTATTAATGCTTTATAAACCCCTTATAAATGATAATTAAAGGCTCTGTTTAATTCTAAACAGGAAAAACAGAACATAAACGACTTTATTCATTTCTATTTAATTGAAGATACTGCAGCAAATAAAAATAATTATTTGCAAGCTTATCTAAAATAAAATGACTGTACAGTTTAAACATTGCTGATATTTGATATCTTGACACTCCTGTTATTCAGCTTATAACAGCTCAGCTCTTGTCAGCTTAGTCCCTTTATTAATCTGGGGTCGCCACAGCGGAATGAACCGCCAACTTATTCAGCAAGTTTTTACGCAGCGGATGCCCTTCCAGCTGCAACCCATCTCTGGGAAAAATCCACAAACACTTACTCGCACACACTCATACACCTGACAATTTAGCCTACGCAGTTCACCTGTACCGCATGTGTTTGGACTGTGGGGGAAACCGGAGCACCCGGAGGAAACACACGCGAATGCAGGGAGAACATGCAAACTCCACACAGAAACGCCAACTTAGCCGAGGCTCAAACCAGCAATCTTCTTGCTGTGAGGCAACAGCACTACCTACTGCGTAACTGCCTCGCCCGTATTGTTTAAACTTTTCATTTTACTTTTTAGATAAGATTGCAAAGATGTATTGTTCATTTGATGCCAAGCCTTTAATTATCATTTATAAGGGATTGATAAATCTTTGATAGTCCTCACTTTATATTAGGTCACAAAACTGCATGAAGATGAGGTAATAAAGCATTTTTTAACATATATGTATATATAGTACCCCTTACTGATAATTCAGAGATATAAATGTTAATTTCAGTAGTTTATAAATCATTTACTCACTCATTCTAGAATCCACCAACTACTCTTAAATACAAATGCTTTGTAAATATTCCAATACTTAATTTAATAATGAAAAATAAATCATTAAAGTATGAAAGTACAGTTATTAAGCACATTATACATGTGGTGATAAGTCAAGAATACAGCATTTGTAGCTGCAGTTATAAACTGTTCACTAATGTCTATTAATGTAGAGTTAATGCTTAACAGATACTGAATTCACTACATGCTAATGCTTAATAAATGGTTCATAGTGTGTAGTTGTTATAAAGTGTTACCCATTACTTTTGTTGTAACCCTTATTTATAGCAGCAGCACAGTGTTGTGGTATTAGTGGACAGATGTCTGTGGTCTGTATATCAGTGCTGTTGTGCTGTGTGTTTCAGATGGAGCAGCTCAGTGAAGGTGAAGTGGACATCGAGACGTTTGAGGAGAACGACCAGATCATCAGCCGACTGAGAGAAAAGGCCAGACGGTGTGTGAAAACTCCATCTCTTGTGTTTGCTTGTGTCTCTCTCTCTCTCTCACTCTCTCGCTCTGGAAAATGTGGAGCAGGGCTGAGCAGTATGTGGTTTGAGCATAGATATCGCAATGTGTGCATCCGCAATATGCACATCGCATCTATTAAAGATTAAAAGATAAAGATAATATTATTTATACAATGAGGAGCTTGTTATTTCATGTTTTATTGTTCAATTTCCGTACCTGAACACAAATATAAATGTGGAGAAATATAATAAGAATGAACTGATGACCGCTATAAAGATGTAAAGTGTAAATAGTGATGAACACAAACTGATCAAGCTAGATCAACCAGGAGGCTCTGGCCATGATTTATGATTGTTTCATCTGATAATCTCTGCATATAGTGACACTGGGTACTGGAGCAGACAGTGGAGCCCCCTCTGCTGGACTGACGGAGTAATTACGCCATGTCAAGCTGTTGGTCTGTGTTGTGTTCTGTAAAAGATTCTAACAAAACTATCGGTGAGATAATTCGACGACAATCAGCATCGGTGTTAGAAATAATAACGTTAACATTTCATACCACAGTGTTTATCATATAAATACACAACAGACGTTATACATGTATTATACTTGATGGATTCTTCCGGTTTTTAATTATGTGAAGTCTAGAGTCTGAATAGATTTTAAAGCCACTGGAAAAATGATCTTTACTTGAGATTTTACATTGATATTAGTCCAAATATCTCTTCAAGAGTTCACCCTCAGCTGATTGGGAGAGAGCCCTGAGCAAATAAGATCCTCGAGCCCGGGGCTCCCTCCCGTTTGCAGAGTGAGAGGGGAGTTTGAGCTCAGGTAGATGTGGAGAACTCTCCAATGAACAGATAGTGATCACTCTTAAGAGATAACTACTGACTAGCAGCATGTCTGTAATGCTGATTTGGATTTGTCAATTAACCTAAGCTGCATGTTTTTGGACGGTGGGAAAAATCGTATTGTTCTGTCAGCACAATAGTCTAGTGGTTAGCGTGCTGACATATGGTGCAGTAGCACTTCAGGGCGTCCTGAGTTTGAATCCCGGCTTGTGGACATTTCCCGTCCTTACCCCCTCTCTCTCCCACTTTGTTTTCTGTCTGAAACTCTGTCCTATCTGCTTAATAAAGGCAAACAGGCCAAAAAAATAAATATATATATATATATATATATATATATATATATATATATATATATA